GGCTAATGGTTTCCAAACAGATTTCTGCTGACACAATCATCTAGCAAACTGCAGAAACCAGAAAAATTAAAGCTTCATGTTGTAGTACTGTCCTCAACAAATCAGATACAGAGTTCCTGCATAAGATGACATAAAGGCTTTCATCAGCAGTATTTACTGCTGTACTCTTGTCACGATCATGATGGCCCTAACCTGGGATAAGCAAACACTTGCTCCTATAACCTGTAGTCCCAAAACATTTAGATGCAGGTCAGTCCCCGAGGATCGCATTTCACTGTCCTTCTTTAAAATTTGAGCTCACTCGTATGAACTCCCGAACCTTGAATGGGGGCAACCATAATCCAGCTAAGGAGTTTTGCTTGAATTGCATGTAGATAAATACACACTGAATCAGAACTGTGCACAAGGCCACCTAGGGAACCTGAGAACCCAGATCATGGTGTTTGAAAACTAAGTATACTTCAACCACTTCTTTAAGAGTTACAAATTCCAGGATAATGTACAATATACATACTATCCAATTATTTGAGGCATGGATATATGCAGAAGCTGGAGCAGTGCCAGAGTTAATGTATGAGGCCAACCATCATCTGGAGTCTCTGCTGAAGAAAACATTGCTCCTGAATCTAAAATTCCCAGTAAATTCTGTCCTCTAATTTGGGAGCACAGAACTGAGACTCACTATCAGTGTCTTATAATAAGTGATGACTTCCTAGGAATCCTTGGTCGCAAAGATAAATGTCTCAAGTGTATGTTTTAGTTAGATCTTGGTAAGTTATTCACTGTGGAGTCGATGTTCATCTCTAAAGGTAAGTGAATCTCTTCACTCACCTGGAGATGCTAGGTCTGATACTGAAGATCCCAACCACTACATACATATTTCTGATGCACTAAACATACAGGAACAGGAAAGGAGGAGATTTTGAGACCAGAACACAAATTATTGCAGACATTTGAAGAAAGGAATCACTGAAGAAAAAGAAGCTGAAAAAAACAGCAACATAGCAAGGGGTAAGAATACCTCTCTGCCTTTCAACTCTTCTTTCTTCAACTAGAGAAGATACGATTGGATTTCTCTTCCACCTAGTCCTGGAAGAATACCTTGTAATGACTTACACAGCACCTCAGGGCATGGTCTACACTAGCATTGTGGCTGGGATCAGGAGTGTGCTTCTGCAAGAAACTCCCCACAGTCCCCACCAATTGCACTTCAGCAGGCATCCCAGAGAAGTCTCAGGGAATAAGAACTGAATGAAATCAAACATGAAAATGCATTTCAGGAGTGCACCTGCTGCACTCCAGGTGTAAACAAACAGTAAAGCCCCAGCACACCAGACTAGAATTGCTGTAAAACAAGTCCTTCTGAAACACATAGCATCAACCCTTCTCCAACAACTGTTGTCTAAAAAGCTTCTCTAACTCATCCACACCACTTTGCTAAAGTAAACACTGCCACAGAACACCACCTAGAATGGGTGCTTACAAAAATGTTCCAAAGAGAAAACAGGGAGGTGGAAGAAGAGCAAAGAGATCAGAGTAGCTTGGTATCAAACAACTTCTGCTGGTGGTAGCGAGCACACATTGCTTCAAGTTCAGCTTCCTGCCAAACTCTTCCCAGATGCCAAGTAAATGGTTCAAGGAATGCAAAGAGGCAGCCAGGCTAGGTCCAGCTAGACTCTCAACCTGAATTCCAAGATGGTCAACTTCCCAGAAAAGCCATGCTCTAAGAAAACTGGAATAGGTAGCAGATACCTGCAAACATCTACATTACAGTCGTCTCCTCTCAGGGGACTCTAATGACCACGGTTGTTAGTGGAACCAGGATTATTTCACTGGGCAGACACAGCTTTTATTTTGAGAATTCCTCCACAGGAGCTACTAAAATAAAAAGGCTAAGTCAACAACCAGCAGGTGAACATACTCACTTTACACAAGTTTAACTTTCCTGAAGAAGAAAAAAACAGGCATATTTCCTTACTTGAAGGAAATAGGTCAGGCAAGTAAGATTTTTTGATTGATAGGGGAAAGGGAAGGGGAAAACCTCAATCTATTCTTGAATTAAAAAGAGAGAAAACAGTAAATTTGATTGCAACACTGCTAAATACGTAATATATTAAATCCTTACCCCAAAGAAAGGGCTCTTTTGAAGCTTTTCTTCCTGCTTCACCTCTGTGATTTTCTGAAAAAAAATCTAACACTTCTGGAAAGACTGCTCAGAACAGCTTGGGTAATGAGCCAGAATTGCCTGTTGATGGCATCCCCTTCCCCCCCCTTTTAAAAATAAATTGTATTGAAGACATATGAACACTCTTATTTCCTTTTAACTGCAAAGGAGGTGTGTTGAATGCCAACTCTATAAGTTAGGTGATTTGAGTTATCAGAAACTATGATTCGTCTTTTGAATATATGCTCCTATCTTTGCTAGTGAAAAAGAGGAACAGGTAGAAACTAGATACACTAATGTGAAAGATTTTCAGTATCTCCACGATCACTGTGTTAGCTTCTGTTAAGGAACCTGTTGAGGGACCTTTGCAGAAATCAATTCACGTTAAAAGTGTCACAGCAAACACTTTATGCCAAGTCAGTAAGCAGCGGTAACTGTGTGACTTAATTTTTTGTCGTAGTTCCCATGCAGACTAATGCAGCTGTTAAACACTGACAAAAGTTTTGTAAAACTACCTAAATACGCACAGCTAAGTGTGCCCTTTCCTAATCCACTACAGCTAACTTGAAACCAGGGACTATTTTTGAATACACTTATTCTTTCCAGAGGATATTACCTTGGATTTGTCTACACCAAGTTTGGTTTCCCGCCATTCTGTCTCCATCCACTCTGCTCCTTTAGTCTTGGCTGACTTTAGAAACTCTGTCATCATCAAGTTCTTGCATGGCAGTTCTCTTCTTCAGATCCCTAACGAATAAATACAGGTCTCAGTACAGACCCGCAGATACTCAGTCCACAACTTCTTGTTTTGCAAAATTAAATCATTCTTTCAGAATCACCTCACTATGATAATTAACTAGATTTAAAACTAAATTGCTTTTTTAAAAAAAAACAAACAAATGAGACACTTAAATATGCTGGCACAGGACCAGTAGAGCTTTCATTACCTTTTAACACGTACTACTACCCCTTCTTCAGAAGAGGGTGTCTCCTTTTAGTGATCTCCCTTTGCCACACATTCACTGACAAATGCCATGGTTCATGGGTCCCAGTCTGTGGGTCTTGCGAGGCCTAAGATCAATGGAGGCTAACACCATTCTCCCATCACTGAGCTTTCTTGAAGCTCAGTAGTGAGATTATTCAGGTACCTATATAGACTGGGAGAAGATCTCCTTGAGAGCAGCCCTGCGGAGAAGGACTCGGGGTCCTGGTGGACAAGAAGCTGGACATGAGCCTGCAATGTGCGCTTGCAGCCCGCAAAGCCAACTGTGTTTTGGGCTGCATTAAAAAAGGGGTGGCCAGCAGGGAGAGGGAGGTGATTGTGCCCCTCTACTCGGCTCTTGTGAGGCCCCATCTGCAGTACTGTGTCCAGGCCTGGGGCCCCCAGCACAGGAAGGACGTGGAGCTCTTGGAGCGGGTGCAGAGGAGGGCCACTAAGATGCTCAGAGGGCTGGAGCACCTCTCCCGTGAGGAAAGGTTGAGGGAACTGGGCTTGTTTAGCTTGGAGAAGAGAAGGCTCCGGGGAGACCTCATTGCGGCCTGCCAGTACTTGAAGGGAGCCTATAAACAGGAGGGGGAACGCCTGTTTACAGGGGTTGATAATGACAGGACGAGGGGGAATGGTTTTAAACTAAGAGAGGGGAAATTTAGGTTGGATATTAGGAGGAAATTTTTCACCCAGAGGGTGGTGAGGCACTGGAACAGGTTGCCCAGAGAAGCTGTGGATGCCCCATCCCTGGAGGCATTCAGGACCAGGCTGGATGGGGCCCTGGACAGCCTGCTCTACTGGTTGGCAACCCTGCTCACAGCAGGGGAGTTGAACCTAGATGATCTTTAAGATCCGTTTCAACCCAGGCCCTTCTATGATTATGAAAGACCTATTTAATCTCAGTCTGGCTCTGACTTCAGCACAATTTTCTAAACAAGTAATTTTGTAAATTTTACAGTAAGTTCTCTGATTTCTCAACATTTCGTACAAGTTTACAAGATTTATTTCATACAAGATTACATCTTTTCACCTGCACCTTTTCTAAAGGAATTCTAGACTTGGTGCTGAACTGAAAATCCTGGAGCTCCCTGCTAAACTGAACAGCAGGTGGACGACAAGCAGCTGAAGCACATGTTGTTTCTCACTGAAGTACTTCAGACATGACCAGCAGGATGGCACAGATGGCAGAAATAAAATTCAAGTCCACTCTCTGGATTCTTTGGAGTGACTATCAAAGAGGCCATCTAGCACAGTAGTCACAGTGAGCTTTAGAGTACGGATATCCATAAGACACACTGGCTCACTTCACACAAACTAGATGCAGATACAAAGTCTGAGGGAGAAGCAGTTAAGTTCTCTCTTCATCACCCTGAGCATTTTGATTTCTAAGCTTATACTTTTATTCTGCACACATTCAACCACCATATCAAAGTTGATTAACCACCAAGGGGATGACTTGTCCATCTGTAACAAGATCACATGCACAGCTAAGGAAGTTCTTGAGAAGATCACAAATCTTTCTGCTAGATTCTGATCATCTTGCTTATTCCTTGCAGTGGTCAGTGGAAAAACCCAAAACCCCATTTGGGCAGTCTCACATTCTGCTTTTGCAGGATTTCTTTGTGAACTGTGATTTCTTCCACCCTCCCTCTTTAACTATCCAGACAAGCTTAATGCTGGTCCCACTGGAAATATGCACATTTTTAAATGCAAACACCTGCAATGTTCTACTTGTATTTTCCAGGAAAAAAAGGCTTTGTTTCAAACCAAAATGATTAAGAAGATACAAATAACAAAATATCTGTCCCAAGGCATCAAAAGACCCTGCAACTACTCAGCAGTTAGTTTCTACTGAAATCCCACCAGTCTTCTTATTTCTTGATAGATGGGGGCAGCCAGTTCTTTGGCTTTCTGCGCTCCATCCTCTAAAACCTTGATCAGATGGGATTTGTCTTCCTGGAGTTTCTTGATTTCATTCCTGATAGGTGCAAATTTTTGAATAACCGACTCTGCTACCACCATTTTGTAGTGAGCAGTGTCAAGACCAGCAGATTGGTGCAGCACTTCTTTTATGCTAAGCCCTGTTACTGCAGCATGAATGGACACCAGATTGGAGACACCAGGGCGACCGTCTGGGTCGTAGGTCACCTCAGAGGTAAAGTCAGTCACAGCTTTGCGGAATTTCAGCACTATTTCATCAGGGCTGTCCGCTATGTTAACAGTAGCTAACTTCTGTGGGTCTGACTTGGACATCTTCACTGTTGGATCTCTGAGGGATTTTATTTTCTTTGTTGTACCTTAAAAAAAAAAAAAAAAGGAATAATTATGAACACACAGACACGCAGACAATTGTTTCTTTTGACAATTTGTTTCAATTGACACTTTGTAGTTGACTAAATTCTCTGTTTATCCTTGCTTAAAAATGAGTTGTGAGCACAATCATGTACACTCCTATCTAGTCCTTATGCCCTCCCTGTCCTTCTAAGCTACTTTTCTCCTTCCATAAGCTAAATGAAAACCTGCTCCATTTCTCATCTCCTCGCTAAGCAGAACTTCTGCTGGGACACTTCCTAACATTTTTTGTGACCACATGCAGATTTTCCCCCAAAACTCTCTCCTCCCTTGTATTCCTGGCACTGGGAACAAGTTACCCAGAGAGCATGGACTGTTATGGTTCTGTAACAGGGGAGAAGCAGGTCAAACCCGCTGGTAAAAAAGAACGGCAGAACAGTTAGTGTCCTTACTTTCGGAGGCTGTTCCACCTAAAGTCTCCCAAATATCAACAAAGACAGTTATTAAAAGTTCCCTAACTGAACACTAACCAGCTCAGTTAGAGGGAAAGCACTGTTAAGATAAGAGAGGTGTGGGTACTGTACAAACTACTAAGATATATGCGTGTACATGAAATAGAATAGTAGCATTAGGGAAATACTGCAAAGTACTTTCTTTAACAGCATCAACCCAGATTATTTCAGTCCGAAACATCATTCATGGGGTACATGAAGTACCACTGATCTAGAAAGTACTCATACCACTTGTTTTTAGACACCAAATACAGCCAACAAAATCACCCGCATATTCCTCATAGACAGCCTGTGTACTCAGTGAAAGGATAAATGTTCTTCCAGGGTACAATTCAGACTGCCTGAGAAAATGCTCTGTTCTGAATCGCCTTCTGAAGGAGTCTGTCTCTTTTCTGTAAATTTGAAGGAGTACAGGTACCCTAACTACCTACACCTAGTGAGTCTGAATAGGTCCCCAACTCCTCCATTCACCTAGGATATTTCATTGGTTTGCACATACTTGTGCACTTACGAAGGTACGCTTTTTACGAGGAAAGCAAAAAGTTCTTTTCCTCTCCTCACTCCCTGCTGCCTCCCTCAAATCCAGCTTTTTATTTCCTGGGAAACAGTTTCACCTGCATCATAGGCTACACTCAGCTCCTCATTACAGTTCTTAATTGTTCATTAAAAACTGCACAGCTTGCAATACCTAGTATTATCTAAGCTCCACTCTGGGTCTAACACCATTTTTGTCACCGAGGCTTGAAAACTGAGAAAGAAAAGACAAACAGTAATAAACCTAAGGTGAGAGCTCCTTGCCCTTTTGGGGGCGAAGGTCTCTGCTGTGCATTCCTCTACATTACTTACAACAAAGATGCAATGCTTCAGCCTTGCCCAATTCTTCACATTTTTGTCACTGAGGCTTGAAAATTGAGAAAGGTTTATTACTGTTTGTCTTTTCTAAGGTGAGAGCTCCTTGCCCTTTTGGGGGCGAAGGTCTCTGCTGTGCATTCCTCTACATTACTTACAACAAAGATGCAATGCTTCAGCCTTGCCCAATTCTTCACATTTCTTAACAAACACGCCATTTGTGCCATCCGACTCCTCCTTACCCCCCCTGCCTATGACCTTACAGCTCAAAAATGGCTGAGATTTTCCTCGTAAGCCTCCCTTAGCCTAACATCAAAACCGGAAAGTCTAAGCTCTGTAAGAGACCCTTACTGAAATATGCAAGTATATACTAAACACACTTGAAAGATTTTTAAGCACTGTAGCAATAAACCTGCAAGCAGTTTAGCATGCTTAATGCAAACATCTACCACTCGACATTGAAGAATTCTACTTGCTAAAGGCCTCTTGTCTTGTTTCTTACGTGTCTCCTAAACTAGCAACATGGAGCAGAGACCCTACTCTTAAAAGGACCAATACTTGAAGAGCAAGGCTGACTGGCAGCAGCAGAATGCATCTGGCCCCCTGGACCAGAATACCAGACGTTGCATACATTCCTCTACCGGGGATTTGTAAAGCCTTACGTCTATCTTGGGAGTTCAGTTTCACAGCCTCTAGCCTCTTCTTGTCAGTTTTTAATTTTCCGCTCCCTTTTCTTGGTCCCTGAAACTATTTCCACAATATCTAAATCCATCTTCAACCTTGAAGTGCAGTTAAGGGGGAAGAAAAAAAAATAACCAAGACCAGCTCACTTAAAATGGCTTTGGGCACAGGAAAGAATTCTCCGTACTTCTTGTTGAAATGCTGTGCTATATCTTGGGCTAGTTCCAGGTGCAGGACTTGATCTTCTCCAACAGGAACATGTGTCGACCTTTTAATAAAAGACAGATACAGGAAACTCAGCAAAGCTCTCCAGTTCTGCTGAAATGTTACTCAAAACTGTCACAGCTTCTGCCATGAGTGAGGGTCAGATAGAGCCAAACACTCAGTCCCACTGAGATATAGGTGCTGTGGGAACAAGATCCCAAAATCACTGTATCCCAGGATGAGTTTGCTTTTTGTGCTGAAATGAAGCACATTTGCAGGGGCAAAAACAGCCCTTTGTGAAAACATATATGGTAAAGATACCGGTAAGGGCAAATCATTAAACTCAGCTCAAGGAAAGGGTTCTGTAGTATCTCCTGCTGTCTCTTTAGAGATCAAAGAGCACATGTTACAGTGTGTGAACAAAGTAAGAAAGATCTGCAAGGCACAAAGCACAAGCACCTTGCCTTCTTAAGTGTCAGGAAAACACAACTTGTTGAGAAGTTAGTACTATGGATTTATCAAGGGAAGGAAAGAAGAGACTGGTTCTTCCTCATAGGTCATCATCATATAAATATCATGTGGACCAGTGTCTCTACTGCCACAAGTGTTATCATTCACAGATTAGAACTATTAGGATCAAAGGATCATTTGATCTTCTGTATTGAACGCAATAGCTTCAATGCAGTCCTGGAGGAAAACACAATCTGCATCAGAGGACACGAAGAGGTGAAGAATCCATTACTTCCCCTGGTGATTCTTTCCCACAGTTAATCATGCTTGCTAAAAATGTATGATTCTTTTAGATGAGGCAGACTTGAAGTCTTGCCAGCTTTTGATTACTCTCCCCTCCCCCAGCAGATTTTTTTTTTTTTTCCTGAGGCTTGTGGGGTATTCAGCTCTGAATCCTGGATATGTTCCAGCGTAAGAAAGTTCACTATGCATGTTTTAAGTTCCCAGAAAATTTCATTTCAACACGGTACTCCTTCCTTCCGATTCTGAATTACCGGGCTGACATCCAGGTACCAATTAGTCCACCTTTATTCCCCTCCAAACAGTCAGCAAGGCAACCTAAAAGCAGTTACAGTAGCCAATAGGAAATCACAGTGGCCTACAACTAACAGAAAGAAAATCAGTTACCATAATCAATACACTTTAAGTAGGTCAAAAGAAATGTTTCCATATGCCAAAATGGTTCCATATTCACAAAGTTTGCCACTAAACAGAAAACATATTGTCTTTATAAATGCTCTGCATGATTCTTTACCTTTTTCCTTGCCTTTTTAAAATATTTCTGTCCTGGTGCTACTTTTATTCCTTTCTGTCATATATTTACCTTCCGTCCATTTTCCTGTCTCTTTGATCCTTGGTTCATTCTTAGTACTGTTTCTTCCCCTCCTCCAGCTTTTAACTCTTCTTCATGACTGCTGCTCCCTTCCTGTATTTCCTTTTCTCCCTGATTCTTGTCCCCTATATTATGTTTTACATTAAAACATTTCTTATTAAAGATATTATATTAAATTTCTTCAAAGAGATATTGTTTCTCTTTCACTTCCTTGTTTTGTGCTCTGTCCGGACAGTCTGCTGTTAATACACACGGTAGCAAACAAACCAGAGGCTTCACTAAAGAGTGATGAATCACATTATTTTATCAGAGATGGAGGAGACATATGTAGTTGAGCTCAATCAAAACAAGGAGTCTTCTGATAAAGTTGTCTAAATTTCACCCTTAAATACTGCTTGACAATCAAATGGGACTCGCTGCTTAGAAGATTATTTTAATATTCAAATTCATTCTGACTTTTGCTTGCTTCCCATTATTTTTAGTTAAAAATCAAGTGAATTAGAAATATCATCTACAGGTCTTCCAACATTACTGTTTTCCCCTACTAATGATCACTTAGTATTACATCTCTCTAGATACATATCTCTGGGTTAACAACCGGGTAATCTTGGTTACTCTGTCCTCATAGTTCTGTATTACTTCTGTCCCAATAAATATTCACAACTGCGCTTCAGAACAATTCAACAAAGTATATACACTCGGAACATAAAAATAATTCATTGCAGTGACTCTAACATTTACTTATTCAGACAGTTTAAAACATATTATGAAATACAACCAGTCATAATAACGCACTTACAAGTTCTATCACCTCGGCCACAAACTTAGCCATGCTGAGTCACCACTCCCTCACTCGGGCATATTTCCATTGCAGCACATAGTACACCACAGAGAAAATGGAACTAGCCCAGGTACCACAAGGTGCAGTAAATGACTCACTTCTTCAGTGAATCCCACACTAATATGGGAACCCTCTTTACAGCCAGCTTAAGTATCTCTACAGTACACTGCATAAAATAAAGCATAACTACTTAAAAAAAGTATATGTATGTGTTTGACTATGTAATACGTATAATTAAATATCAATGTGTTATAATTCCCTACGAATTGTTCTGAAGCGACCAGCTTTTTTTCTTTACAACTGTATCAGTTACTTTCAAACCAGGCTAGTTTTCAACCACTCACTTGAGAGGTAAAAAGCTGTCATCCATTTCCAGTCTTCTGATCTAATCACACCCAGCTCCCTCACTTAATAAGTTAGCATGTTGACCTGATGATCATTCATTCTAATGCAGCTGAACAGACATTGCCCATGGGCTCACATTCTGCCTCTTACTTGTATAGCAAAATATCTGCTGCTTGAAGCACTGGATAAGTCAACAAACCCACAGTCCCTTCATTATTCTGGCTGGCACGCTTCATCTGTTTGCAAAAGAAAAACAGAGACGAATCACACTTTCGGTTAATGATGTCAAAGTCTGTGATTTTAATTAATTAGAATTCCAGCTAATTTGAGTAACTTATTGTGTAACTCCAGAGAAAAGTGTGTAATGTAAAATCCGCTCCTTGTGAATAAACACATCTCATTTTATGTCCTATATTTTTAATTCCCCTACACTGTTCTGATATTACAGTGAGGAGAAAACATAAGCTTGTGTTTTCTTTCTGTTTGTGATCTTACTAACAAAAATTATTACAAACACAAAACAAGCAGGCTGGGTTATTACACTTATTATTGATAAAGCCTGCTTTTTAAACAGAATTTTCAGCAGTAAATTTTGGAAACACTTTACAATAGAGATATAAAAAGTCATTAATACCTGTTTCACAGAAAAGAGATCAAGATGTAGTGACCAAACACAGTCACCAGGCGCATCAGTGACAGCTGGGGAAGAACCCATAACTACAGAGACAGAGTCCAGCATTCTCTCCATTAATTCATGCTGTTCCCCACAGTCCACCCACTGTTCTGAAGTCCCTTTACCGCTCTAGGATATGGATCACTTAAACCAAGACAGTTAGGCTACAGATACTCATTCTGTTCTAGCAATGGCATATCTAGTTTTTGCTTTTAACAATAATTAAACACACTAAACCCCTTAAAATCTTAATTATTTAATTAAGACTATTCAAGTATCTTCAGATTTTTCTCACCCTCTCATACAGATCCTGTCTTCCATCTACACCTTTAAGTGCCTAGGGTTCAGGGGACCTAATCTGCAAAGCCTAGCACCTGTAACACCTATCCGTAGATTTGGAAAGTCTATCCAGTCAAAGTTGGATTTAAGAGCTTAACTTTAGAACCTCAGGCTTGAAAAGGTTGGCTTTAATCTGTGCAATGCATTAAGGCTGGTTGCTGTATTTAAGTTTTACTGTTTTTATTTAATTAAGAAGAAAAACAGGAAAAAAGAAAACATCTGGAGGTATTTAAGACTGCTCTGAACCCTGGAAGCCAAAGTGCTCTTAAGATTTTTTTTTTCTCCTTTTTGATACTTCTCTCTCCTGCTTTTTGGTTTTTCTGCTCACTAAATGCCAAAACAAAATACAAGGAAATTAAATGCAAGAACTCAGTTGATGCAGTCATGCTGATGCAGTACCAAGATTAAGAAGATGAACATTTGAAACTTGTAAAGGCAAACATTTAAGATGTATTAACTTTATCACTCAGCACGTTTTTAATATTTATCATCTATATTCCTCTTCTAACATACGCTTCTTCTGCATCCTCTTCCATAAAAATCTACAGAACAGCCACTCTTCATGGTAGAAAAAGAAAAGCTGTTTATGGAACTCCTTTATCAGCAAGGCTTAAGGTTTTCACTGCAAATATCTTGTAGTTGTTTTACATTATTAAATAAGTGTTGAAATAACTCCAAACATTCTAGCAAAATCACCCTAACAACACTAAACAACCCTCCTATTTAGTACAGTTTCTGCAAGTCTCTGCCAAAAATATTATCTTGTAGCTTCCAGCAGGAAAAAAATGTTCACTAAAAGCAACAGACCTGGAAAGATACATTTTCTTCCTTCCACCATAGAACTAGAGATTATTTAAACCTGAAGCAAATATAACCAAGATACAATTGGTACTTCTCAGATGACAAGTATTTCAAGGACCGCAGTTCAACTTAATCCCTATACATTTCCTTTGAATTTATGAAACTATCTGTACCTTCCACTGGGGCAAGCGTAGGACACGTGGCACGTTAGTTAAGCACCCAAGAATCCAGGCAAGTTCTGCATGCTCAGGAACCTGGAAGTACAAAGTCAGAAAATATTTTGATCTTCTGCATTTACACACATATTTTCTCAAAAACAATACAGATAAATTGTATCAGAGGCGAGAAAAACATTTATTTTTGTCTATGGCTTTTTCAGTAAGGTCAAGTGACAAGTTAATGGAAAGTTTTTGGACCCTGCATGGATTGAATGGGCTATGCTTAAGCAGCATAGCAAGGTTCTCGATCCTGTCCACTCACATTCTAAAGAAGAAAGAAAACACTTCAGCAATAACAGAGTTGAACTCCTGTGTAAACTAACCAACTTCTGGCTGCTATACCACAACCTTCCCCCACCCTGAGATAATATGCTAATAGTTACAAAACCTCTTTACCTTTCTCAGTTTCAGTAAGTTACCTAAGCTTCATTCTTCTGCATCAGGGCCCTAAATGCACTAATTTCCCTTAATTGCCCTGACCAGCCTCACATGAACCCTCCAGCCATATACGCTCTGCCCATGGTCCCAAGAGCCCCATTTAAGCTCAGGTCAGGCTCCTCCAGTCCTTGCCCAAGCCATGTTACAGTGCAGTATGTCTGGCAGTGTAACTTCATGCCCTTCACAGAAGCTCGAGCTAATAGCCAGGGAACAAGAAGAGCTGGGCTGCTCCACGAGGCTGTCACTGCAGACAGCCACAAGCCAGGCAGGAGCAGTTGCCTAAATGACCAGGACAACGTGCTGCAGTGTTTAATTGGGGAAGGGGTGGTGATGTGACAGTCTGGTGATCATCAGACAGGGCAAGGTAATTAGTCACATCTGAGGTCAATCCAGGAAGCCCAGTGAGAAAATCTGGGCAGCAGGGACAGAGTTGAGCACAGGTACACTAAGATGTACCTTAGGGGCAGACTGGGGGCTTGAAAGAACAAGGTGATCTCTATTATGCTCCTTTGCTTACATGTTTGATTCACTCTTTTCAATATTGTCAGGTTTGGATGTTTAAGAGCATGCTAACCATCTCAAAGATGTTCAAAGCTTCATGCTTGCAACATGATATAACAACCCAGATGGAAGGCAGTAAAAAGTGTTTGTTAACAAGGAAGAATTACTAGCATTGTTAATGGCAGTTCCTTTGTTGTCACATTTTAAATACAGTAACTTCCTAGCTAACAGTCATTAGACTATTTTGGTTGTCAATGTTGTATAGAGGTATCTGACCTCATGACAACAGCTATGTGGTTAGAGATATGAAATACTTCAGGTTGATTCTCT